GAGCTGGATGACTTTGCCTTGGATGCAGAGGCATGGGTTCTGACCGTCTTCTCTCAGATCAGCCCCCAAACCCAAAAGTTCCAAAGCTGTTACAATAAGAAGCCAGCTGAAGTTCAAGCCCAGCATCAAACACACACACAAACACCTGGAAACCTAAGGGCCACAGGTAGGAAGCTTCCTCCTCCCTAAAGAATTCTTAAATCTTCGGTGCATGACTGACCCTACTCCTTTGGAAACATTCAAGAAGGAAGTGTTGTGTGTCTGTTTATGAGAGAGTGTGTACAGGTGGGTAATTGGGCAGGTGGCTATATGTGTGTGTGGTTGTATGAAGATATGCAGGTATGTAGATATGTGGGTAGGATGTTGGGGTATGGATGTATGGGTGTGCAGGAGTGTGGGTATGGATATGCAGGTAGATGGGTGTGTGGACTTATGGAAATATGAATGTGTGAGTGTGTAGTGTGTGGATTATGGTATGTGGTTGTGTAGGTATGTGGTTGTGTTAATATGTGGATGTGTGGGTGTTTGGACATGTGGAAATATGGGTATGTGGGGGGGTTGTAGATATGTGGGCATGAGTGTGTGGGAATGTGGCTATATGGGCATATGAGTGTATGGGTATATAGGTGTGTGGTATATGGTTATGTGGGTGTGGGGATGTATGAGTTTGTGGTTTTGCAGGTGTGTGGATATATGGATATGTGGGTATTGGGTTTGTGTAAGTGTTTGGATGTGTGTGTTTATGGATGTGTGTGTGTTTGTGAGTACATGGGTGTGCAGGGTATATGACTGTTCACGTGTGGGTGAGTAGATGTGTGGATAATCATTGTATAAAGCCCTAATGGAAGGTTCCTGAGTTTTTCCATTTTCAAAGAAAAATAATTCTTTTCCAGACACTAACTAGCTTTGGAATTTTTTTTTTGCCTGAAGTTCTTTGACACAAATGCTGCTCTCTTTCAAAGTCTTCCATTAGGAATTCTGAGCGGGAGATCCCAGGGGCACCAGTAGGTGCCTCTCCAGTCCTGACTGGCCTGCCGAATCACATTGAAACCTTTGCATTCAGGTCATTCGCGACGCTGCTTCAAGCTGCAGGCAGGTTCCGAGAGTCAAGTGTAGAGAGCTACATTTCACACAAACCTTATCTAATGACGTCAAAATAAGCATATTTAAACACTGATAATACTCATATTGGTGGTAAATAGCACCCAAAGATCAGAGACACCGTATCGAGTCACACAGCAAACCACTGCCTGTTCAATGTGCATGAATTTAGCAAAGAGTTTGCTGGTTCTTCCTCAGTAGAGGCACTAAATAGGAAGCTTGGCTGAAGCAAACCCAGGACAGTTTAAGTACCTCCTAGGACAGAGCTGGTGCCTATCCCTGGCTTCTGCAATAAAGACCTCTAGTCTCCAGAAAGATTGGGTGCAGACAGCTAATTCTCATAGGATCATGGCAATTATTTGAGCTGGCCCTCTTTATTTACTGGCAGAGAAGTACACAAAGGGCTGAGCAGACAGCTCAGTCAGTACAGTGCTGTTGTGCGAACAGAACCTTAGTTTGATGCCCAGTGTCCATAAAAAGCTAGAACATGACACACATTTGGAATCCCAATGATGAAGTGGAAACACATGGAGCCCTGGGGCTAGGCGGCCAGCTAGTCTAACCAATCAATGCGTTCCAGATTCAACGAGAGATGCTGTCCCAAAATAATAAGAACTCCTGGACCGGTCCTCTAGCCTCCACATATACGTGTTAGGAGGTCAGAGGACAATATGCAAGAGTTGGTTCTCTCCTCCCACCATGTGAATCCCAGGGTTGACCTCTGGTCAATAGGCTTGGTGGCAGGCACCCTCACCCACTAAGCCATTCCATTGGCCTCTGCTAGCTTTTACTAGCCACTGGTCACACTGAGTGCTGATCTGTATTGCGATGCCCTTGAGGATCTAAGATTTAGCATGGGGAAAGAAAAGAAGGAAAAAGTATTGGTGCTTCATGCTGACTAAAAACCTTTAATTGGTTAGTTTTGACATGTGAGATACTAAATCTAAAAATATCAAAATTGATTTCACCTGCTCCTTTTTTCTCTTCTGGTGTGACTAACAATGCGATTCGAACCCCGCATGTTAGCACTTCCAGTTCCACGTCTGTTGGACAGCACTGATTTTCAGGGCAGCATTTGCTGCCCCAGGGAGAGGACTATAAGGAATCTCTTTTCAGAACTTGCCAGAAGCAACAGAAAAGAAGAGAGAGAAGACATCCGTTCCCGTCTCTTCAAGAACTTTTCACCAAGTCACGGAAGAGACACTTGCCTGCCACGTAATTAAAAAACGAAAGCACTAATTGAAAGCAATGAGATAGCATTACGTTGATGCCTAACTATGTGTGCAGGCTTTAGTAAACTTAACTTTCAAAAGAGCCCCAGGGTCTGAAGAGATGGCTCCATCAGTATAGCTCAAGTGTGGGAAGAAAGAAAACCTGAATTCAGATCCGTGGCACCCACATAAAAAAGCCAGGGACAGCAGTTAGTGTTTGTAATCGAGGAGACAGAGTCAGGAGGGCCCCCGAGGCTCACTGCCAGCAACTTAATCAATCAGTGAGCTCCAAGTTCAGTCAGAGATTCTGCCTCAAAAAACAAGTCAGAGTGCCTCCAAAGAAGCCCCTCGACAATGATCTCCGGTCATCACTCTAATGAGTGTACACACACGCGTTCGCACATGTACCCCCCACAGGTGCTCGCCCCTTGCACACAAACACACAGACAGGGGACCTGGAAGGAGAGAAGGAAAGAGGGAGGGAGGGAGGGAGGGAGGGAGGGAGGGAGGGAGGGAGGGAGGGAGGGTGAGAGAGAATATCAGCAATTTTGACAACATGGAAATTATCATCTTCATTTTTGAAATGTTCCCTGGAGAAATCATTACCCAAATCAATTAATGCCATAGAAATCAGTTTGGTCCTGAAAAGACATCTGGCCCTGGCCAATGCGCCCCTGCCAGAAGCACAGACGATCAATAGAGATACTGACGCTCCTGTGAGAGGGAGGACAGGACACTGCCTGGCTGTGCTGAAAAGTCAACGCAGAGTACTTTCGACAGGCAAGCGGCAGAGCCTTCCCACCAGGGGTGACCAGATGCTCTCTTTGACAAATGGAAATTCTCTGCTGCAAAAGCATACTGCATTCATCTTGGACATGTGATGCTTTTTGTCTAAACCCATCAACTGCTTTCAACATGCCAGCCATCCCTTAACTGTTGAGAATGAGCAATAAAGGTTTGACTATGAGAGGCAAAATTTCTTTCTTTATGAAGCAAGCCCCATTATTTCAGAGAGTTGGGTTGTTCCATCTGATGTCCTGCCATTTGTGGTGAGAATAAGTCGTTTCTAGTGAAATACGGAATTACGTGTGCTGGCGAGGCTGGAACACATATGTGAAGCTGGTAGCAAGGTCCCCCATCTGCCATTCTCAGGCCGAAATAGTTCTGTTGGCAAGGCTGGTTGCTAGCCAGCTGCTGGAGTCCCCAGCATGCCTTTCAACTTGTGTGTCCCAGACCTCAGGAGCATCCCTACTAAAGCAATCACAACATGAGCTTCTAGAGGTTTCTGAACAAGCCCTGCAGATTGGTTTCCAGCACAAGAAAACTGAGCAGTGAGCAGAGATTCTGAGCCTGGCTACTCAGCAGCTAGCCCTCGCTCTCCCCATCCCTGGCCTGTGCTCTCCTGAGGACAGCCACTAGCATGGAATACCACGGCCTCAGTCAAATGGGCCTCCTCTCTGAGGCATCTTCTGTTTCTCAGATAAATTGGGGGTGGGGGACGGGAGGTTGCTGTGTCTTCTTGTGCCCCAGCTCAGGGGCCTCTCGAATATAAAGGACTAGCACTGATAAAACTGAACAGTCTGCAATCGCAGGCAACAGCAATAAAAAAGTATGATTCCCATACAAATTAGTTAAATTTATTCTAATTTTATCCTCCTCTTTTTCTCTCCCGCCCACTCCACCTCCTCGAATCCAAATGCCAGTGGGAAAGAGCACATTTGGGATGATTTGAGATGTAAAATACTTCAGCTCTTTTATTGTTACTTACAAAATATCCCTTTAAGATAAGATTTTATGTTTTTTTTTTAAGCAAATCATAAAACTTCTGCTAGGATAAACTAGCATGCCTGGGGGCCAATTGAAAGGTAACAAGGACCAGAACATGAAATAAATCCCTAAGCAAGGCAGGCTGTGCACGAATTCCTCCACTCAAGTTACACTGTGTTTCGCCTTTGGAAGCATGGAACAACTGAGGCGCGGGGTGTTCAGTGCCAAAGACTCCCCCAATCCCAAAGAATCTGAACTGGGACGTGAAACTGCACAACAGGGTGAAGTCCAACCCCTAGGCAGCATCTGTCATTGTCCTCTGATGGAGACCCACATTCTTACACCTAGCCTTGCATGGGCTCCCAGTTTCCCACCGGAGGCAGAAAGGGAGTCCCGTGGATATCCCAAGCCTGGTCTTTAAAATGGGAAAGGAGACGCTGAGGCGGGTCTCTTTCCAGAGCATTAAGTCTAGAGGCCGGGTTCCAAGCATGAGGAATCCCCCAGCGGTCTCTTCTCGACTCAGAAAGCTTCTTTCTCTTGCTGTCTCTCTTTCCGTGACTTTTCCTAAATCCACGGGATCCACTTCCTCATTCATGACAAAGCCTGCAGTCGAAGGATTTTCCCAACCGCAACTCCTATTAGGACGGGATCCCTAATCTGTGTAAAACCCAGAGGTTTTGCTTTTTCAAAGCAATGTTAGATGTTCATTCTAATGTTCTCCCAACAGAGCTACGGCTTCGTGCTCACCCCTCCCCTCCCCTCCTGGAGGATGCAGGATGAGGCTGGATAGTCCCCCTCTCCCAGTTCTGGGATGCATACTGTTCTTCAGCCCCGAAGAGTAATCTGGCCCCCGGGACTTGCAAAAAGCGCCCGGCACCAGCGAGCTGCATCCAGCTCCAGCTGAGAGCCGAGGTCGCTTACCTGGGGAGAGCCCGCTCAGCGCGGCTAGTCTCCAGGCGCAGCTCCGGGACCCGCTGAGCGCGGCGCGATGCGGTGGCTGCTGAGGCGGAGCGCGCGCTGCTCCCGGGTGATGACGCTGTCAGCTGCCCTGCGCCCCGCACCGCCCCTGTGCACCGCCCAGAGTACTGCACGCCCCTTGCAAAACCCAGAGCCCTGCACCTCCAGTGCAACGCCCAGTGCAATGCCCAGTGCAACGTCCTGTGCCCTACTCTGCCCCTCACTGCCTTGTGCACCCGCCCCGGATCTGCACAGCCTTGCAACCACCAGCACGGTGTCACTACCGTGCACCGTCAGTACACACGCCTGGTTCTGCGCAGTCCTCCCACGCGGTGCTCTCTTGCTCTGGCCTCCCGCCTCCGGCTCCGCCCTCCTCAAGCTCTGGCTTTGGAGTAGCACGGTCTCTGCGGTGGCCACTGGGGCTCCAATGGCGCCTGCTTTTCGCCAAGAGCCTTCAGCTGCCCTCTACCGACAGTTTGTGGAATAGATGGCAAGAAACTGGAATTTTCTGAAAATTCAATGACTCAAAACCATTTCGTTGACAGGACATTGAATTCTTCTGTTTTAAACTGTGCACCCACCCTAGGGCAGTTACTCTCTACCACACTATAAGCCTTAGTTTGTCGCTAGATAGCGTCTTACGTTCTGTTCCTGTAGCTGTGACAAAAGCAGCCTTAGGAGAAATGGGTTTCTTCTGGCTCAGAGATCACGTCAGAGAAGGCAGGACAGCAAACGCCTTAAGCATCTGATTCCCATCACATCCGTAACCAGGACTTAGGGGTGTGGAGGATGCTGCTGCCCAGATCAATGTGTATAGCCCAGGGTCCCCTGCTCAGGAAATGGTATGGCCCACAGTTAGGCCCTTGAATATCAGTTAGGTAATCAAGATAATCTTCCCCACCCGCGTGCCTGAAGTCTCTCTCCCAGGTGAGTCTGGATCCTGTCAACTTGATAACACTAATCACTTGGCAATCTGTCACAGAGAGGTCCCAAGAAATGTCCTGCCAACCATGCCGCGTGAATTAATGCACTCTGTGACAGGAAGTCTTTTTCACCCTTACTTTGTCCTTAGTGGGCCGTAAGAGGACTACAAAACTAGAATGGTTCTCCTCTAAGTTTGGCTTAGCTTTTATAGTCTGTAAACTATGACTTTTCTGTTTAGTAAGTCTCTGGGGTCCTGTAATTTCAGATGACATTGTCCCTTGAAGTTGATTTCCAAAGTAAATCTCTGCCCTGCTAGTCACAGGAAACAGGTGTTTATAAAAATCTTACCTAAAGTGTGCTTTCACCATTTGTAGTTAAGAAAACGTCTTTTTTGTTCCTGAGATTAGCCTGATTCTGGCCTTGAAGCTGTGGCCACTAAAATATGAAGACAGCAGACCACGTTTTAACAGAGCCATTTGAGAGTAGCCTCCACAAATACAGCCCTCCTTCAATTATGTCTATGAGCAGGGTGTCCACTACAGTGCTTGGTGAACAATCACCTGAGCATGATCCCATCCCAGAGTTGTGGAGTCAGAAACAGGATCCCTATGCAGCCATCCTAGACAAATAGGTGGGTTCTAGTTGATGAGAGCCCTTCTCTACAACAACAACAAAAACGTTTGACACCAGAGGTACAAAACTCGTGGTTGATCTCTGACCTTTGCATGCATTTACACACATGTACACCCTCTTGTGCACAGGAAAGAAGAAAGGGAGGGGGAGGGAGGGAGAGAGGGAGGGAGGGAGGGAGGGAGGGAGGGAGGGAGGGAGGGAGGGGGAGGGAGAGAAGATGGACAGACAGACACTGGGGAAAGTGACCCAGAGGAGGGAATCCATATGTAGACAGACTGATGCTGAATCTAAAATCTGAAAGAACACCCAGGCTAACAAGTCAGGTTGCTGCTTGCCATGACAACCAAAATGTAGGTTATCAAGTTAGATGATGAAATGAGGCCCGAGATGTAAACAAGAGAGTTAAAATACCAAAGAGGGAAACACTGTAGGACAAAGCCTATTCCACTTCCGAAGTGGAGCAGGGATCTCTTTGTAGGACTTGACCATTGGAAATCACCATTCCCTCTGAGAACCTGACACAGGAGACCCGGATGCTCTAGCTTCCTATCAGCTGAGAATCCGAAATCCCAGCACAGCACAATTAAAGAGCCTTTGCCGTGAAGGTTGCCAACATAGCAACTATACAGAGAAGAGTGTTCAAACAGCAGCAAACCACGCACCATGCCCAAACCTACATGCCCATGAATGCAGCCTTCAGCTGTTCTCAGATACTTCCAGAGACCTTAAATGGGTAAACCTTTGTTGACAGTAGAAGACCCCGACCTCCCTGCAATGCTGTGACCTAGGCCTTTACCCTACCTACAGGGATCCCATCCAATACCTAGGACCCCTCCTGTGATCTCATTTGAACTCCTTAGTAAACCTTGAGGTTAACTTTAGAAGCCACCAAAAGCAACTGCAAAGTCACTCCATAATGACTCTCTCCTGGGCAGCCCACCCTAGTGCTCCGGAGTGGGCCTCACTCCTTCCCTACATGTCTCCATGCCCACTAACTCCTGTTCTTAAATTTGCTGAAAATGCTTAACAAACAAACTAATCCCCAGCTCTGCTTCCTAATGGCTTGTCCGGAAATTCTTTCCTGCAGGGAAGTCAAGAATTGGGATTGACGTCATAAAGGGCCAGGGAACTGAGGATGGGAGTGGGCTGCAGGCAGTGTGGAGCAGAGCAGTGTCTCCCCCTACTGCTCCTGACTCTGTTACATCCTCTGATGTCCCTCTATGGGTCTGTCCCATTTGCTTTCCCTTGTCTGTCTGTATATTCCCAAACATTGGGACAACTGTAAATACCTATTAAAACAGACTCCAGTCCAGCAGCATAAGTTAAAAAAAAAAAAGGCATATGTTACCAAAGCAAATCTAAACCATCACACCATATCACCCCAAAGTTCTTTCAAATAACATGACCCCACCTCAAAACTTCAGCCTCAGAATCTTCTTTTAATTGAGACACCTCACTCCCAAAACTGCTCATGCTTGTGAGAAGAGAAGCTTCCAACCAAGGCTTCTGAATACTAGGAAGCATCAGAATTATTGGAGAGAGGAGGGAGTCTGTTAACTGCCTTGAACACAGAGTCTTTGGTTTGATTAAATCTGAAACAGGATTCCTGGTAACGGGGCTGGGGCTTACAGCAGAGCTCTAGGTAAGGGATACCCAACCATGTGCAGAGCCAGATAACAGGTGATGGTGGGCTGCTCAATGCTGGGGAGTGTAGGTGGAGGCTGTTCGTTTGTTTCTGGACACCCAGACCCTAAATAATCACACAGAAACTGTATTAATTACAACACTGCTTGGCCAATAGCTTAAGCATATTTCTAGCTAGCTCTTACATCTCAAATTAACCCATTCCTATTATTTTATACTTTATCACAAGGCTTGTGGTTTACCAGCAAGATTTCAGGCCATCTGTCTCCTTCAGCAGCTACCTGGCATCTCTCTTATTCCATCTACTTTCTCCAAGGATTCCGTGTAGATTTTTCCACCATGCCCTATTCTGCCTTGCTGTAGGCCTAAGCATCTTCTTTATTCATTAACCAATAAAAGCAACACATACACAAAAGGACTTCCCACATTATCTCCCCCTTTCTGTCTAAATATAAAAGAAGGTTTTAACTTTAACATAGTAAAATTATATGTACAAAACAGTTATCAAGCAAGAATTGTAGTTAACAATATTTATATCTATGTCATCTTTTACCATAACTAAGGAAAACTATTATTGTAACTATTTTTCAACTCCCTCAAAGACCCCAGCAGGATATAATATTACCTAAGTTAACAGGAAGTGCATTGTAAGCAACCTTCAAAACTCTAGAAGGAGCTAAGTTCAGAGAGGGAAATGATGGAGGTGGGTCATCTGTCTATCTGTTGCTTTCATTGGTTAATTAATAAAGAAACTGCTTGGCCTTTGATAGGACAGCAGCTTAGATAGGCGGAGTAGACAGAACTAAATGCTGGGAGAAAGAAGACAGTGAGACAGACACTATAGCTCTCCTCTCCAAGATGGACGCAGGTTAAGATCTTTCCTGGGAAGCCACCTCTGGTGCTACGCAGATTACTAAGTATGGGTTAAAGCAAGATGTGAGAATTAGCCAGTAAGAGGCTAGAGCTAATGGGCCAGGCAGCGTTTAAAAGAATACAGTTTCCGTGTAATTATTCTGGGGCTAAGCTAGCCGGTGGCTGGGAGCTGGGTGGCGGGAAGCGGCCCCCAACTCTCTCAACACCTCACTCCATGGCAAGTGTAAACTGGCATAGCTTGTCAATCCAGTGTCTATAATTTTGAGAAAACCCTGCCCTTTTTTACTGACTTACCGCAAGGTTCTTGGGTATATTTTAAAAGAGGCTTCATACCTCCTCTGCATTTTGCTCTCAGAACTTGGGACTGTGCAAGCTTACCCTTGGCCAATGCTCATGTTAACAGAAGGCATGGTTTCTCCCCACAACCAAACATGCATGGTTTGAAGGAAGGAGGACTCTAGGCAGGTGTAGACCCTTTCAGACATCTAGGCTGATGAAGGCCTCATCTGAGCCCTCTCTGCCCGACTATCGCCCTCTGCTGGGTCATCTTTGGGTTCTGCACAAACTAGACCTCTCAAGGCTATGTAGAAACCTGCTTCTCTACTGATCTATATGAAGGCTATCAACTCACCCGAGGCAGGACCTGAGTCCACAGTATACTGCTAAGCAGCCAGCAAGAAGTGATTCCAATGGGGGGGGGGGGAATGGTGGTACATTAAAATGTTGAAAACAAGAGAGCCATGGCTGTTTAACGAGGACACTTGAGGTTAATGAGAGAATGCACCTCTGACGCTGTTCTCCTCTGATGGCATTCTTTGGAGTTTGCCCTCTTTTCATGACTTTTTCAGGGCTAGCAGCCTCAGGAACTGTGGGAAACTGTTAGAAATGTACATGCAAGGCTCCTGCTGAGGCTGAGTGCTCACCACACCATGTGTGCAAAGAAAGTCCCATCCCAGCAATACAGAAACTTAACATGGAGGTTCACCTATGTCATCCCAGCACTTGAGAGGTAGAGGCAGGAGAATCAGGAGTTCAAGGTCAGTTTTGGTTACATACTGAGTTTGAAGCCAGCTCCATGCTATATGAGATCCTGGAGATCAGTGGAGGGGGGGTAAGCAAGAAGGAAGAAAGGAAGTGAGGGAGGGAAGAAGGGAGGGAGGGAAGAGGAAAGGAGAAAGGAAGGAAGACAGGTGAGAACCCT